CCACGTGATCGATGCCACAGGGTGGCTGCGGTTTCCCGCTCGATCGCAGTGGTAGGGTCATGAGAGAGGGGTCATGGCGGCTAACTACGATAGGCGCCAGCACACCCGGGGAAAACCATGGGAGCGAACCTCGCGATTCGCGACACCGTTTCTGACTTGTATAACCCCATCAGCGCCAATCCCTATTTTTAATAGGAGGTATGGCCCTCCTGTTTGTGTGTAAATGGTTGTGTAAAGAAGTGCGGGATTATGTTACAATGAAAAATGAAGGAGAAAAGAAAAGTAATAAAAAGAAAAACGCGCGGGGATACCAAACGAAATGTATTGGGTTGCACTATACTGTGATAAGATATGCAGTATTATGATTAATAGGCTACAACAGACAATTATAAAACTGCCTAAAATTATTGGACAAAAAGGTTGTGAGCTAAGGAGAAAGGAGATAATGTTTAAGTAGAAGAAACGCCTGTGGGCGCAGAAAAAACGTCAGTGGACGCAGGAACGCCATCGGCGCAAAAGAACGTCAGTCGACGCAAAGGACCAAAGGTCCAAGTAATCACCACCGGTGCGAAAGGCTGTTGCCTCATCAAGAGAGTAGAATAGAATAGGAAAAGTAGAATAAATAAGTAATAATAGATATATAAATAATAAATAATATAAACCCGTATGACGGAACTGGTATAACACCGAAAACGGGTTACCCTCGAATTTCGGCGAATACCAGCGCTGTCCAATTAAGAAAGAAAAACCTTTATAAACGAAATAATTAAAATGGTTCGTTTCGCTCCTTCCTCAGACGAACCTTATTATTTCGTAGTCAAACACAAAACTCGAAAAACCGTTAAAAAATATTTTTGCCAACCAAAGCCATCTTTCTGTGGAATGATCAGGCTGCATAAGAGGAGTTATATGCGCATCACATATAATATGTGGATCACATACAAACAATTACTTCACGAGATGAAAGTCGAGTGCATGGCGCAATCCTAGATGTGTATTAAACCAGAATTCCTCGCACCGTTGAACTTCTAGTAAGCAGAGCTACTAGATGGCATAATTTTCAAATCGCTATTTCTTCAAGAGTTATGGCGAGCCGACTTTTGCGACGGACCGATTGCGTGTAAACCGTCGCATGAGCAGAAATTAGTAGTAGTATTGTAGGAATACCCAAGAGATGAGATGGTGAGATGGTGACTGGTGGGTGGTAGGAGAGGATGGTATTGATCCCTAGAGGGTTGGGTTGAATCAAGGATGGTCGCGATGCACAAAAAAGAAAAAACCGAGAAAAATGGCCTCTCCAAATCAAAAAATGGGACACCCCTTCCTTACCCGTTGATTTCTGCATTGATGCTCTCAACGGTGCTGCCTTCTTAAACGCTGGCGCTCCCTCTCTCTGGAACGGCTAGACTCAGACGTGAGGCAACGTGAGAAGGGGCGTACCAAGCCGGGCGTCGATTGGGCCGCGGGAAGGCCATGCTGGATAGCCGGCATAACCTTCGATGCGAACTCCGTCTCGGTCCACACCCGTCGGATGTCCACCTATTTCTCCATTAGGTATGTAACCCCTTCTTTGACCTTCGTCCTCTCCAGGGAATCCTCCTTGAAAGTGATGCTAGCACGGTCAAAGAGAAATGCCTTAACACATAGCTTCCACGCCGCCACTGACAGCTGTGATGCGAATGAGGAATAACCATCCAGACAATCCCAGTTTTTGTTTGAGAGGAGAGTATTTTGAAAAGAAAATTATTTTACAATTAGGTTGCGTGAAACTTATTCCGACATTCTTGATTCGTTACTTTCAGGCTTATAGTAAATCCGATGTTCTGATAGTACATCAAAAACTGGCAGAACTCAGGAAGAAATGGATGGAGAAGCTACAAAGCAAGGAAACTACGAAGGTTCAGTCTCTACAAAGGGTACCAAGCCGAGTTAGTTCCATTTGACAGGATTTTGAAGAAGAAACTTTTGAAAAATGTTTTGTACACTCTCGCAAGCATCTGTCCCTTGTCGTCTGCGCATTAGCTTGCTCTTCTTCTAATTTGCCCACACCACATTTTCGACAATGGTGATCAGAATTTTCTTTAGACTTTTGAGACATTTTTAAAAAAATTATTTCCGTTCACGTTTCAAGCATAAGCCTTTCTTTTTCCAGATGCAACCGGAAACGTTTCCACACGAAGATGGTCCCACAGTGCTTCCCATTCATGAAGTCAACAAAAACGCAAACCTGAGCGAGTTCATGTATCAAGCTGACATGGTGCTCACTCTGTAAGGTCATTTATATTGACTTAAAGAAAATCAGCTCACATTTTTTCCATTACTCTTAGGGCGGAAGTGGTGTAGTGCAAGTGGCACGCTTACCACGCGAGCGGTCCGGGGATCAAATCCTGGGTCGTGAGTCGCCCGGGCCAACCAAGCCTTCCATCCCTCCGGGGTCGGTTAATTGGTACCAGACTTGTCTGGGAGGATAAAAACACTGACTTGTACATCGGCTGGCCCCCGCAAGTCATTGTATAGGCCACATCGCATTCAAACGCCACTACGAATGTACAAATGGAAGTAGAATGCGTGCCGCATCCCAAAAAGGGATTGATCAACGGCAAATGCTTTATCCTTTATCCTTATCTTATAATGCAACTTATGCTTTTGCATGCTTTCGAACCAAAATGTTGCACATAAGAGTAAAAGTTAACTCCGAAGGAAAAGAGGGAAAGTCAAATCAGAAAGTCAAAAGAGTTAGATCAAGGTAAAAGTATTGGTGAGCGGGTGTTATTCACTATTACTCATAATGACCTTCCTCTGGTCTCTGTCCAAAAAATCAGATGCGCATCGAGTGCAGACCACTCACAGCAAGCGACGACGGCCTGCCAGCAAATCTGGTGATTCATTGTGATAGCTGTAGTTGGTAAAAAGGATAATAGTAACAACTGAAAGAACACAACTGCAGAACCATTTCATGGGTAGAAAATGTTTATATATTGTGAAGACCGTCATCACTTGTGGTGTGGGCGCCAGTAATGTTGCAGGGAATTGTTTCGTTAGAAGATGACGTTTCTTACTTCAAACTTGATGGAACAGTGTTTTTTTTTCTGAATGTGGTTTCTGCTATATTGCAGAATCCAAGCTGAGCAAATTGGTAACAACAGCGAAGATGATCGCACGAAGCGTCAGGCCTACCGCGACATTTTCTATCCAAACACAATTTGGGGAAGAACGGTCTACTACTACTTTGATCCTACTGCAAGTGAGTCATGCATATGCGCGTTTATTGAGTTTTTCATGCGGCACTGGTCGCTTCTGTCACTTTCGTCACACCTTGAGGTATCCCCAGGAGGCGCGTTGCGCGACAAAGTCAGAGGGCGAGTCGCACCCAAAACTGTGGCGATTAGGCTTCATGTTCAATACAAGGCATTGCAGTACATCTCACACCATTCGCTCCA